TTTTTTTTACAACCAAGCTACGGTCAATAAAACCCCAATATTTCACTTAGCAACCTGATTTTGTGAATTTAGTGTGTGAATAGTTGAAGACATAGCAGTTTCATCATGCGTAGCAACACCAATCAACTGATCCCAACTACACTTAGGTGTGCTTTATCCTAACCCTAACCATAAACCCCAACCCATAACCAATTGATCAATTTCTAGCATACCAAATACTGATAAGAGCAACTTTTACAAACATTCAAAGTCCATACAGTTTTACTTATTATGCAAACAATTGTTCACTCTCTCTAGTCTAAATCCAGTTGAACACCACTCTTGAACTATATTTATTCTTTTAGCACCAAACATTCAGCCATGTCAGCCAAAGATGGAGACTGTGGTGCCTGGCAGATGAAAACCTGCGTCACATGACTATTATTCCAATGGATAAGACCTTTTCCAGTTATGATTCACCTGCAAGTAATGCCAGAGTTATCCAGTCAGGTGTCCAGGGAGTCAATCTGCCATGAAATTAATTTAAAGGTCCCCTATTATACTGTTATTCATCAATATATTATAGGTCTAAGATATATACAAAACATGTCTCTGAAGAGTTTTGCTGAAATACCAAACAGATCATTGCAGCATCCCATAATCCCCTCTGTTTCAGCCCTGTTTCAAACGTGCTGATTCTCTGTCTGTCACTTTAGATGAAAATAAGGAGCACCTCCCCACGTCCCTCTGAGAGATATTTGGTTAAAAAGAACTAGGGATGCACCGAATATTCGGCCGCCGAAAATTATCGGCCGAAAATGGTTAAAAAGGTTCTAGCACCGAAAAAATATCACCGAATGTCAGAGAACAGAGTTACGTTGGTAAGCTAACGTGTTGTTGTGATGACGTAATCAAAACGCGGCGACAAGCACGGCGCGCGACCATGCTCGCGGCTGGCTCACAGCCAACATGTCTGCCGCTTGGAGATATTTAAAAATATCAGCGAAAGAGACGCGGATTGCCATTTGTAAAACTTGTTCAGCTGACATTTCTCGAGGGGGTGTAACTGCAAAGACTTTCACCACTTCGGGATTACTCCACCACTTGAAATCCAAACACCCGGACAAATATGCGGAGTAAGATCAAATCACAAGCACTGACAGCGAGAGACTGTTCAGCGCTGCCTCTCATGCGCTTGATGAGAAGAGGAACAGACTTATGGCTGATAAAGCAGAGAAGCTAACGTTCATTAAAAAGAACCTCCCACTTTTCCTTAATAAGTAGACAAGGCTGGCTTATCATAAGCTTATCTAGTTCTACATGTCTACTCTATACCCACTTTCCTGAACAATTTTCATTGTGAGTTATAATTCACCATCTCAGGTTATCATTAGGGGGAAATGACAGCAGCACAGTGTTCAATATATTGTACTTTCGGTATCTAAATGATACAATGTTGTTTACATTGCTCATGAGGATAGACCACCTTATTTGCAGATTCTTGAAATTATAATTTAATTTGTAATTGATTGTGGATTTTGTATCCAGTTTTCAGTTTATGTATCTTTATACAATGTTTACTACTTTGCTTATGAGGACAGACAGCCTTATTTACAGATTCTTGAAATTGAATTATAATTTAATTTGTAAATAGTTACATTCATGGGATTTATCCAGTTTGCACATTTGTATGCATGCACTTATAGGTGCATTTGTTGTTGTTGAAGGCCTGGCTGTTACAGTCTTTATTTACACTATTTTGTTGTAGGCCTACTGGCCTAGATGTTTATGCACCTTGGCTTTGTTCTGAATGCACTTTGTTGTAGTTATCCTACAGAGAAAATGCACTTGACTTGGAATTAATGTACTGTATGCATTCAAAAGTGCTGAATAAATGTTTTATGGACCCATAATAGTGATTATTATCTAAGTTAAGTTTTGCCATAATCATGTCTTTTTCCATAATCAGGTAGCTGAACAACATTGGTAAAAAATGTATACATTATATATATATATATTTCTATTAATCATTTTCGGCCTTTCGGCATTCGGTTTTCGGCCAACTGTTTCCTATTTTCGGTATCGGTTTCGGCCAAGAATTTCCCATTCGGTGCACCCCTA